TCAGGATAAGCTTACTGAAGAATTTTTATATTCGCTTATAATATTTTTTAAATAAATAATTTCATTTTTGTATTGTTGCAAACGATCTTCGAGATTTTTTTCTCGTTGTTTCATTTTCCTTAAACCATTCAATAAACTAAACAATACAAAATATTGCACCATTACTTAAACTATTTTAATGAATTAGACTTATTAAAATAATTTCACCTATATTTTTCCATTTGAAATTCATTGGATAATTGTTTTTTTGTTTCATAAACACAATCACTGACAAACTCGTTTTTGCTATCTAATTCTTGTTGCATTTGAGTTAGTTTCTTAGAAAGGTGATGATTTTGCATCGTCAATTTTTTGGAAACTTGTCCATTTAAATACTTCTATAATAAAATTATTAATTAATAATTTATAAAAAATTACTTGAATTACATTTCATAAATAATAATCTATTCAACCTCTTAAAATCAGAAGATTACATTAAATTGTTCTAACATAGCCTACCCTGAAATTTTTTCTAGTAATGATAGAGAAATCTTACCCATGTAAAGTACCAATATCCAATTAGAATTTTTAGAACAGTTAATTAGATATCTATAAAATTTTTAGTATTATTATATTCTAAATCAAAAGTTTTTTGAATTTATTTAACTTCAAAACATTAAAAAAGCTACACGTGTGTATAAGTATAATCTAAAATTTTACTGCACAAAGCTGAATTATAACGTATTTATTTCAAACCTCTTTTAAAAAGTGACAATAATAGTTGATTAAATTCTGATTTTGATATACGTTGACTTCTTGATTATTTATATTATTCATTGAATTATCCGTTATTTGAAGTCATAAAAAAATTAATGAACTTCAAGAATAATACTATTTATAAATATTTTTGATATTAATAATGACTTAACTCATTTACTTTGAACTATAACCAAAAATTAAGTTAATTTTTAAGCATAAAATAATTTATAGATATAACATATATTTACTTATTATATTTTTATTATATTATAATACTTATAAATTATTCATTAATCCTATTTATAAATTGGAATTTTTATTAGCTTAGCAACTATATGTATTTTAAACGTAAAAAGTTTTTGGTTGCTAAGATTATTTTGGTAGTATTACTTTACAAAAGAAACAGTAATGAAAAACTCAAGCATTTATCTGTTGTTAATTTAAAATGAATTTAGTAGAATAAGGAAAATGAATCTTACGAATCACATTGACGTTGTACACGAGTTCTTTGAATAAATTTTAACTTGTTTGATTGTAACGTGGATACCAAAGCTGATTTTGGTAATAAGTCTAGGTTTGTAAATTCTATTTGACTTCAACAGTACGAACATTAATTTCTTATAGCTTTCGGCATTTTATATAGAAGTATAAGGCGAGAGTAGGAGGGTAAATGTACGCTGAATAATTAGACACAATGATAACATTTTTAAATATTAATTAAAAGAAATTTTATCTTTATGTCCAATTTCAAATTTGTATGCTTGTAGTACAGATAAATATTTCGTACCATTTGGTCAAATACTGATTTTTTCATGTGGTTATCTCCAACTAAACGAATAAATACACCTTCTATATTTTATAAATAAGATTGTACTAATAGTAATTTATTTAAACACAAATTCATATTTGTCCCAGTACATTTAAGTATTGTATAAAATGTGTTTCAGTTGTATTATTAATTAAGTATATTATAATTTGGATTTTTTAAGAATTTATGATTTATTTTTATCTAACGACTTCACCAATAAAAAATTTACTAAACCAAATAATCTTGTTTCACGTTTATATAATCATGAAACATAAATTATTGATACTGACGTTAAAAAGTAGTAGTAAATTCTTAAATTACCTTCAAATGAGAAAACATAGTGTGATAAATCAAAAATAAAAGAATAGTAAATAGATAAATAATATATTGATAAAATAATTTAAGTTTAGAGTTAAAGGTAATGGTAGTGTTATCTCTGGGGTTGCACAATATTGAAAAAATGATATTAAATATCCCTATAAAATTTTATAATTTATTAATGGATTATTAGGCAATTAGATTGTCTATGATTTGAAAGCATGAATTAAATTTGCTATTATCTTATATCCAAATTCATGTAATAATGTTTTAAGAAATCCAATATTGATTCGGTGTAATGAATGTATTGTATAAACTTTTACAGTGCGTGTTTATGATAATTTAAATAACTTTAAATAATACGATTTAGTTACATGAAATCTACAACTGATTTTTATACGTAAAAGATTTTAAATACTATATTTTTATTTGAAATATAATTTTTATGATGTACCCTTAAGTGGTATAGTGTTCCGGCCCTGACTCCTTGAATGGATGAGGCATATGTCGTAGTATACTCGTTACTAAGATAATATGAAATAATAGAGGGCTGCTCTGTTTGTATCCACAATATTAGTGGAAGATGAATAAATCTTTTCATTTTAAATAATTAGCGCTTTTTTTTTATAAATTCTATTCATATCATTTAGATATCATAATTCTTATCAAACAAATAATTTAAATATAAAACTTAAACAAACGCATAGTGTTGTTTAATATAATTATTACACACAATTATATGTGGGGGTAGGCCATCATCGCAGATGTCGGTTGGATTTGAATCCCGACCTTTTTTTCTGCTGGGGCAGTCTATTGAAAGATGCCTCTCCTTTCTGCACCTTTAGCAGGCCTTCGACCTGTCTGGTCCCTTGCAAGCATAGTCAATGTGCCCACGTTCCAAACATCTGTAGCACTGACGACCATTGTCAAGAATCCTCAGCCTACAGGATGTCCAATCACCCGGACTCGGCCTAAGGCTGCTAGGCGATGAGCTACTCTGAGAGGCCCCTCGCACCTCGCATACCGCCCTTTACCGCCGATGTTCGTACGGACCGTGATTGGTCCCATATGCAGCGGTAGATCCCCATCAGGAGGCTTCAGGGCGGTGCACATCTGGCTCCTCCTGCCACTCCTCCACGTCCAGGAGAAGGATAGTGCAGGACATCAAAAGCCAGACGCCAATAACCCGGGCACTACAGAATACCTCATCGTATGATCCTCTATAAAGAAGAAATTTTAACATTAATTTATTTATCTACTTGTTTTATTTGTTCTAAGCTCTCAGATTCTACTCCCCGATAGAACCTTTATACTGACAAATTAATCAAACCCAATAATACAGCTTAGTTAAGTAATCACTCCATTATTCTTTTCTTTTATAGAGAGTGTTCAGTAAGTAAAAAAACGGGTATATATCATTAAATAAGTAAAAAAAGTTTTAATGTCAAAATTTAGCAATTTCAAAAATCGTAATTTTTTAAATTTACAAGATATAAGTAATTTTTTTGCTTTCGATTTTTGAGGCTAATGTCTATAATTAGATACAATTTTTAATTTTTTGACGTATCGTTGAAAAAAATCGGTTCATTGAGCCTTGAGAAAAAGTAGGGGTAGTGTGAGACACATCATGGTAAAATTAATACCTCACCGGGTTCCCATCAGAGTTAAAAAACAAATGTATACTCAATTATCTCATCTTATTAATTATTGAAAAATTCAAATAATAAAGAATATTTTATCTATTTTTTACAAAAAGAAATGAAATAATATAAAGTCAAGCATTCATAATTTTATATTTATTATTTAAAGATAGTGTCAAACTGGCTCACCTTGCTACCCGGTAATTCCAGGTGGTCTTTAAATATTATTCATTATTATATTTTAATTTAATTTATCAATTTTTTTATCAAGTAAATTATAATTTTTGAAAAACATCATGTTTAGGGAAGTAAGATATAGAGTTCTTTGTTTTTAAAAAATTGTTAAAAAAACTCCAATTTACTATAGTTAGGTCTCTAGCATGAGCCTGGTAGACATTATTTAATATATTGTACTGTACTTAATTATACTTAAAAATCTTAAATAAAATATTTATATTAATATTAATACAGTAAAATGTGTATTGTGTATAAGTTCTAAAGTAGTTTTATGTCAGTTCATTGTATATTGTTTAAATAAAGCTGAAACTTAAAATTTAGTTTTATATAAATGATTATAATTTAACATTCATACTAGTAATAATTAAAATAACAGCCGAGCAAAACAAGTGTAAATTATGTCTATACCCGTAAACTTCATAAGATCTATGGTAGAATTTACAATACATATAAACTCTTTGTTTTCTCATATGAAGTCATATTTCATCGGTTTAAAGTGTAATCCGTGGATTTTAATAGAAGAATCATTATAAAAATTAAGGCAGTGAAAATTAAATCCTGATATTTATGCATTATTAAATAAATAAATAAAAGTTTACTAAACAAATTTTAATCAATGATCGTAGTCAAAATTGAACAATACAAACAAAAATATTTGATTTCATACATTGTTTTTAATGTTAAATTAATTTATATTAACGTTATATACAACTAAAGGCTGGTAAGATTAATTAAATTCTGGGTGTTAAATAAATTATTATTGATCTAGTTCACCCATTGGTTCGTCTTTTATTTCTTTTCTTTTCTTTTTTTTTAAGTTATTTATTTTATTTTACTATAAACAAATATTGGAAATTAATTAAAAAAATTATTAATTTTTTTTAGGCGACCAAAAAGTATTTTTTTTTTTTTGTATCGAACGTTGTGCATCAATCAAAATGATTTCAATGAGAAAACGTAAAATGGTAGAAATGAGTTTACCTCAAATAAAAATTAATTTTAACGGTAAAATTATTTCGGTATCGTTTATTGTTTTTGAATCTATTATAAGACGTGAAGTTTCTAAGTTTATATCTACTAATATAAAATTAGAAAAAATAATATTAGATCGAGCTCATGTTTTGGATAAAGAAATCTGGAAAAAAAAATATAAATTAGCTGAATTAAAAACAAACGAATGTGAATTTGTGTTAAATCACCTAAAGAAATCGTTAAGATATGATAAAAATGCACGCGCAAAGAAGATCACATTTACAATAATGCAGTACATGAATGTATCATTATTAGACAAGTATGATTTGCATAATTTTATATAATCTTTACTGGTTCATTTTTCAACATTTTTATTTATTTAAGAAAAAAAAAATTCCATGTAAAATTTTTTAAAAATATGTTTTTTTTTTAATTAGTTAAAATTTTTTTTTCTACTAAATTATTTTTAGGATTAATTATTTTTTTAATTACCATTTCCAAAAGTGTAAATTTTCAATAGTTATCAACGTTATAATTTTTTTTATTAATAAAATTAATTAGTAAAAATATAATTATTATAATGAGTTTATAATAATAATAATAATAATAATATTAATAAGTTTATGCAAATTTTAAATAATTTACATAAATAGATGTTAATGTATTCGATGTAATTAATTTAAATGTATGAACGTACTTGTAGAATAGAATTTGATAAAAAAGTTTTTTACTGTATAAATGGCGTGATCATTGGAAGAATATTTTTAAATTATTTGTATATATTTCGGTCTATTTAATTTAGTTAATAATAAATATTTCATACTTTTTAATTATAATAAACTGTTAAGTTTAATCTTATTAACATTTTGTTTGTTATTTTTGTTAATATTTTAAACAATTTTTAGATAGTTTTAGAATTTAATTAATATTAAGAACTGTTCACCTTAAATATAAGCTGTGTTCTAAACTGTGCAGACTTATGTAAAATTACTTTTTTAGTATTTTAAAGTTCATTTGTTTTTTACCTGTAAAAGTGTAGTTAAATAAATAAATAAATACATTTTAAAAACTATAAATATTCATAAAAACATTTAACTTTTGAATTTTTAAGAAAAGTATTCTTCAATTTAATGTCGGAACAAAGCAATGCTATGACCAGGTCTGTAAAATTGGTAGTTTCTAAATTCTACCTACAAGTGAAGATTCAATTTGTAAATACTAATTAAAAATAATTTATATATATATATATATATGTGTGTGTGTGTGTATAAGTATTAATAATAAAATATTCTATAATTAGAAATAAAATTATTATGTAAAAACTAAAATAACTAAAAGCTAAAAAAATATATCAATGATAGTTCATATGATACTATATCTATAAAATATTTTTAGTTAATTAAACAAAAATTGATTATTTAAATTTTTTTTAGGTCCAAAAGCGTAGATAATACTAAAAGGTCTCAAAGTACTAGTTATCATAATCAAAATTTGAATACTACAAACTTTGGTAGAACACAGTCTTTTTTAAACGTCGCCGTTAAAGAAGAAAATGATAGTGATTGTGAGATAGTTGAACAACATGAATATTCAAGTGAATTATTAATTGATCGTTTTAATGATTTTTCAACTACGTCTTTCATAAATCAAAATTTACCGCATGAAATTTATCCACCTACAAAAAATAAACCAGTGCCATCATTTTCTGCTAAAATTGTTGAAAGACCAAATAATATTGTTGGACAAAATATCAATATTAGTAAACAAAATAGAAGCAGTACAGCCAATCAATCATTTAAAAAAAATGTACCTTCATTTTCAGCCAAAGTAATCGGAAAACAAAATGATTTTACTGCGTTTAAAGTTAGTATTGACAACCCAACATTTTATCTAAAACCGATTCAGTTATTGTCATCTGATAAAGCTTTTGAAGAACGCAAGACTCCTTACAAGCCCAAAATTCGCGTCAGTGAGTCTAGAGCAAACAAATTGAAATATCTACCACATTATCCCAAAGTACCGCCGTATAACAATCAACCAAATTGGAAAAAGGTTCCAGTAGCACCTATATTATCTATAGAAAAAAATAAGAATGGCATACAGTTGATGTGGGATTTAAAATTGAACAGTAATTTCGCAAAAGTCAAGTATTTTGAAGTATTTTACTGCAAAGAAACTAATACTACACCAAAAAAAACGATGTGGAAAAAATTCAAAAAAGTTTTCGCAGAAAAATGTCCATATGTATATAATTTGGAAGGTGATTTTACAAATCATAAATATTATTTTGCTGTTAGAGCTGTTGATAAACATGACAGACGTACACCATTTGGGTTAAAAGAATTTGTTTTTTAGTTTGTATCCAATACTAGTTATTGTATTTATAATGAATTGTTTTAGTTAAATCTATTACCTGATTTTTCTACTGTTATTCCATTAATTAAGTATTAAATTTTATGTGTTATAATTTTACGTTTTCTTAATTCTATAATACTATAACTACACACTAAAATGCATCCTTAAATTTTTATTTCGTTAAAAATTTTTTTTCTATAATTAATTATCGAATTAATTTTTAAGTAACTCTTTTTGCTTTGTCAATAATTGTTTTTGTATTTTTAAATTACACCCTAGACTATTAACTTAATTGATATACATTCAATATGCAATAAAGCCAAATAATGATCGACTTAGCAAAAAAATTGAAAGAGAAATTGTGTATACTAGGGTAGCCCCCAAAAATCGAATGTTTTTTTTTGCGCTACGTCTTAATTTTTTTTAATGGTCCAAAAATGAGCTGTGCAAAATTTGGCGAATTATTAATTAATTATTAAGTTTAATTATTGTAATTATTGTACTTAGCATAAAAAATTAAATTTTTATCATTTTTTTTTAAACGAATAATTTTTTTCCATAAAATAAAATGAAAATAAATAAGTAAAAATAAACAAAATCAGTAATGTATTTCTAAAATTATTAAATGTTTTTTATTTAAGCAAAAAAAGTTATGAGGCATGGATCAATTATTTGTATTCAATTTGTCTCTTCAACTCATCTTAATAAGCCTGGAGGCACAGTCAACCATAACGGATCAGTCCCAAATTTTGTACAGATCATTTTTTTGACCATTCAAAGAAATTAAGGCATAGCATAAAAAAAAATATTCGAGTGTATTCGTAAGTTAGTTTTCTTAGAAAGTTTTAATTAAAACAATTTGTTTTTCTTTTTGTTATGTAAACAGCATATTGTTCATAGTATCGTTGGATATTTGTATAGTTCTCATAATATTTTTGACACATAACATAGTAATACCATTAATTTTTTAATTACTTTTACAGCACTCTCCTTATTTCCTTTAGTATCATTGGGTAATAAATACGAAAGCGTGATAAAGTTTTTTTACTCCTAGTATGCAAAAAAAGTGCATTTTTCCTTAATTAAACATTATTCTTGTATTATTAACAATGTATATTTTTTAAGTTCATTTCTGATGCCTTGTATAGGTGTCAACTTTGTTTTTCAAATGGGAACACTTATTTTGAATTTAATAAAATGTTTTTATATATTATATCTAAAAATGTAATGTTTCAATTTTTTAAATTAATATTCATTTATAATACACAAAGGGTTACAATACAGGTAGCCAAGGATTTTTTATTACGTTGCTATTCACAAATTATTGTCAATTATGACTTAACCAACAGATGTGCTTAAAAAATAGTTTTATTTAAGATTTAATAATGTGATATAACATTTATAAATACACCAACTATAAGAAAAAGAAAAATGTATATTATTTTTATTTTTTGACGAAATAAGTGATTTTTAGTAAAAAAAATCATTCTGTATACTGTACATAATATATATTACATACCTGAGAACGCTTTTACTTATTCAATAACTTACAATTTGAAAATAAATAAGTTCTAAGAATGTTTAAAAAAAAATAGCACTTTTGAACATTTTTATAATTGTTTTAGTTTTTGTTTTGTATAATAAATACAATGATTATCTATTTTGCTTTTATATAATTGAAGAAGGATGAGAAGGATTCATTTTTAATTCTTAAAATTTACGTTCAATTATTGTATTGTGTTTGAAAATAAGAATGAATTTAAATAAATAAAAAAAAAAAAAACATCATTGTACAATTTATTTATATTTAGAAACATAACTTGCAATAAAAGTTAATAAATAATAGTTACATTTATAAATAATATTTATTCTTTAAACTTTATAAAAAAAAATAATAAAGTAAATAAGTGCTATATAAAATTACATAGTGGTTAAATCTATTTACTTTCTACTCCATAGAGAATATTTGACGATTTTGGCGTTGAATTCAACGGTAATTGACCTAGGATGATATATTAAAAATTGATCACTTGTGGCTTATATTATTTGAAATTAAAATCATATTTAAAATATAATAAACTTTTTCAGTTAAATATTTTTTCATTTTAAATTAATATTTTTGTTATAATTTTAATTTTAAATAAATATTATTATATTTACTTTTAAGTATAGCTTTAAAAAATTTAAGTGCTACATCAGTATTTAAAACTTTTATTATTGTATAACCTTAATTTATAAAAATGAAATCTGAACTCAAATATTTATTAATGTTAAATAAAAACGAATTAATTAATTAATTATCTTGACAGCTAATAAAAAATTCATAATTGTCTTATTTTTAAAATAATAATAAATTATATTATCGTAAATCGTTTAAATTATATTATCGAATTTTAAGAACAACTGCATATTATCACCCCACTCACAATTTCATTTTTTTAAATGTTTGTTTTTTCATGCTGATTTCAAAAGTGTTTGAAAAAATTAGTTTAAAAGTTACAATTTTTTTAAATTGATGAATCTATAAATCAAAAATATCAAAAATCAGGTTTTTTTGTTACTATGGTTAAAATATATATCCAATATGAGATAATAGTAATTTTTTTGTAAAATCATAATGGTATAAACAAAAATAACTTAAAAGAATGGTTTTCCAAGAAAATTATGTGTTATACTATAACATGTAATTATACTGTAAAAACAAAAAAAAAAATTAATTGATTTTTTTTTTTGAAAGATATAAAATTATGATGATATAATTATTACATAATTTCTCACCTACTGCAAATTTAAATTCAACAAATAGTTTATACAAAAAAATACTTTTTTAAAAATCTGTTAACGTGTTGCATAATGCAATTCTGCATTAATATAATGGTGTAACGATTCAATTATGAAATACTATATTATGCTATTGCATTGTTAAAAAGTTAAATTGTATTAGGTGCGCAATGTTAAATTTTAAGTGATAAATGTTCCCGTTTGACAATACCTTGTTATACTGCAATTTAGGGCAAATAAAAAAGACTTGAAGATTTGGATGGTTGTTAAATTTTACTTCAAACACATCATTGATTTATTAAATTTACTACTGATATCTCACGGAATCAATACCCCGTGGTCTAGACCATAACTGCATGATTTGTGTCGAGGAAAAAAGTATAAAAAAACAGTACGGCGCAGACTCGAAATCCTCTCATAGAGCTTAATAGTATGCCGGATTACCTATTAGACTAGGAACTTAAGTTCTTCACGATCTAAAAAAGTTATTATTTAAACTGATGTGATTAACATAGATTTTAAAATAAGTACTATTTTAATGTAAATTGAGTTCATATAACTTTTAACAACCATAACTGTAATTCGGAATAAAAAAATGATTTAAAATTTTGTAAATTGTGAACTTTGTAACTTTTTAACAATTTCTTTCCACAAAAAAATAAATATTTGTAATTATTGAATATTTTTCGGTACAAAAAAAAAAAAAATATCCAGTTTTTGCCTAGTTAATTGGATAAATACTCTTACTTTTTGCATTGCAAGTCCTATACCGACAGCAATGCCTCGGAAGTGTAGGAGCTGGAGTTCTAGAAGATTCTTCACATGGCTTACATGGATTTACAGTTTTACAACAACTGGTAGGACATTCAAATTTGAAAGTAACTGGAGGATTTGAACATTTTGGTTGTGATGAATATGGTGGTGTTGTGCATACAAAACATGGAGGTGTAACTGGCTTGCATATTGTTGATTGTCCTTGTGAGCCACACTAATATAAATAAAATAAAATTTTACATTTTATCATTCAAAACTTCATAATATAAATAGATCAAATTTCTTCTAACATTATAATTGTTAATGTGCATTTTTATTTCTGCTAATTCTATTCGAGAAGTTTTTAATTCGACATTTGATATAATAATACTTAATAAAATAACAATGCTAAAATTCATTTCAATTCATAAATAGTGTATACATATAGAACGTTAATCAAAAACAATTAAAATATTCATGTTTAAATTTCTTTTGTTTTATTACTCATTATCTCTACGAAATATTGTCATGGTTTTCTCAATTGATCATTATTGTTGTGTTATACTAAATATAAAGTGAAATAAATTATTTTAATTTTATCTTCGATATTAGCTATATGGTTTCAATTTGTCATGTTTTTTTTTTGTCCGATTAGTTAATACTGCCGCTCCTACTAGACCGATTTTTCTCAAAGATACCTCAATATATCACAAAATGTATCATGTTGAAGCTATCAGCGCCATAAATTTGAAATATTTTTCTTAATCCCAGTAATAAAAAAAAATGTGCCCGAAAAATACAGTTGTAATAAAACAATCGATGTTGATACTTGGTTATCACTTTATAATGAAATAATTTTTTTGATAAATGCATAGATTATAGCGAAATTTTGGATGATAATACATTAAACTTATAGATTTTTTTTAAAAAATGCAATCATTAAATAAGGTATTGTAGAGGCTTACAAATCATAAAAAAATTCTATATAATGTTCCAACAATCACAACTTAAGTTTGTCTAAAGATAAATATGGATTACATGGAATAATTATTTTAATAATAAAACAACAGTTTGTTTATGGTAATATATTAAAAAATGGAAAATCATTCTGATAATTTTTTTTTACATTTGTTTCAAATATGCATCGAAATATTTTATGAAAATGGTTTTAATGACTATCAATATTAATCAAAGGACATCCCTCAACCCTACAACATTGGATCTTAAACTTACTTTTTACGTTATTTAATAACATACAAAGTTGAGAAAGTATTAATTTTACAATGATATGTTTTTTTGGTTTGACTTTCATTTTTCTCAGCTCTCACTGGGCTAATTCTTTTTAATGATACGTCAAAAGATCACAAACAGTATCTAATTAAAGACATTACCCTCAAAAATTGTAAAAATTCTTACGTTCCCTATAAATGTGGGAAAATCCCAAGAAAATTACGATTCGTAAAACC